CCCCAAAACCCCAAAACCCCACTATATAATATCTTCAAATTATAAGGTTTAATCTAAAATAAATATTAATATTACTTCAGAGATATAATTTTAAATGCTGAAATTAAATTATAGAAGTTTAATGCTTAGATTAATCATATCCAAGTATTGATGTATACTTCAATTTAAACGACGTTAAATTTTCTCCCTCCTGCTAAATAATTAGCAGACTAATTTGTATTATTTTACTCTTAAACTAGTTCATAAGTACCACCTAATAAGCATTCATTATTATTATTATTATCACATTTATCTCTTATACAAATATCATAGCCCCATCCAAATACCATTAAAAAATCTTTTTAATGCGCAACTGAAAAATCAAAGTATTAATATTGTTTATGTTTTGTATTTTTACTTAGACTAAACACAAATGCGCTACTATCTTTTACATACTTGCTATCAGATGTCCAAGGCACAGATGTATAGCCCCCAAATACTTGATCGTGCTCACTTATGATATAAGAAATAGTAGGACCTTTATTATCACACAGTCTATGAAAATCAGCTGCTCTAAATCCATCTCTGGTAGCTTTATAGAGCAATTATTTCCTTCCGAATGCAAAAAGGGGAAGTTAAGGTTTAAGTAGATATATGTCTTATGATTTTTCAACCAATCTTCTGAATTCCATTAATCCTTTTTCCTTTACTTACTCTTATAATTTTATATATTAATTTTCTAGTCTATTTTTAATATCATGCTTCTCATTATTTTTAACTTCTAACTTAGCCTAATATTTTCTAGTCAAATTTTACATTTTAACTGTAAAATCATTTGATTAGGAATCTAACTTTTCTTTGTATTATATTTACAAAATATCTAACATATTTTTATTTTCTTTAGTCAACAAAGCTTATTTAGCTTAATTTTCCTATTGCTATTATTCTAACTAGGCCTCAGATTATTTAGACATTATTTATAGTTTAGATTAGTGTTCTTGAGACTTAGATTTTTCCTAAGCTTAAAATTCTTGTAATAGTTAAGCTTATTTAGCTAAATTTTCATTAGTCAAAACTATCAATTTCTTTTAATTTTCTGTTTTTAAGGAATCTAGTTTAGCTTCATATTCTGTTTATTTAGACTCTAATTTAAGTTAATTTTCTTTTTACTAAGAATCTAGTTTAGCTTAAAATTCCAACTATTAGGAGTCCGATTTTGCTTTATATTATTTAGACATAGATTCCAATTTGGTCTAGTTTTCTTTTAATAAAGAATCAAATTTAGCTTAAAATTCTATCTATTGTAAGTCTAACTTGGTTTAATTTTCTTTTTACTAGGAGAAGGACTTTCCTTAAAATTCTTTCTATTAAGAATCTAATTTAGCTTAGTTTTCTTTTTACAAGGAGGAAATTTTCCCTTGAAATTCTTTCGATTGAGAGTCTAATTTTGCTTAGTTTTCTTTTCTAAAGGAGAAAATCTTCTCTTGAAATTCTTTAGATTGTGAGTCTAGCCTAGCTTAATTTTATTTGGACATAAGATCCAATTTATCTTCATTTTCCTTCTTTTGATTGCCTATTTTAGCTTAGCAGTCTTAAGACTAAGAATTTAACTTTTCTTTAAACTCTTAACTTAATTATTGAATTTTTTAGATGTTTTCTCTCGACTAAGTCTCTAACTTGGATTAAAATTCTTAAATTTTAGCTTCATACTAGAAAATCGTTTCTCTCAATTAATTTTCAAGTTCAGAAATTTGGTTTTATTGTTTTTTTAGAATAATTTCTTCTTCAGCTCACTTTAGAACTTCTGCTTTTTTCATATCCCCATTAATTGTTGGAATGATTTGAACGTTTGGATTAATTTCTTTGAAGGCATCTCTAAAATATAAATTAAGGTTAAAAAATTACGAAAGAGTATATATAAAGTTTAAAATATCTGTATTAATCGAAATGTTTTGCTTTATTTAGTCATCGATAGCAGTATATTAAAGAAATTAGCATATACAAATGATAAACTGTTAGATTTCATCAGCACCAAAGATTCTACTCTTATCTAGGAAAGAATGAACATTTTCTATCTATTCCTCAATTTAGTTCTTAAAATCTTTTAGTGGATGGAGAATTTTTCCAAATGACTCATCTAAAAATTTTCTTTCAAAAGCAATGTGTTATATGCCCTCAAATTAGCATTGAATATGTGAATCAGTCACGAAGCAGTTAGAGCAGATAAGGTTATTTTGGTTTTTGCAGTAAAATTATACATTACTTCCCTAATGTTCATCACAATCGATATGATTTTGAAGTCTTCTTATCATCGGCTTAAATTCTTTAACTTTTTGATCAACATCACAAAGATGGTTACTATCAATGGGACATTGAATTTGTTAGTTTTGGACTTAATCTTTTTGGTTTTAGTAGCACTGTTTGCAGATTTCATCTTCACAAGGAAGAATAATTGGTAATCTCTCCTTTAGATTATAAACCTTTTTGCAGCAAGGGCAATTTAGTATGTCATTACCATTTTATTACTTCATCATTTTGTCTTTTTGGCAGGCTGAGTTATTTTTGATCAATAAAAATAATTAATAATAAAGTTAAAGATTTGTTAGATTATTTATAACTTAATTTCTGACCAATTTAAAATACATTCTATTATTGATATCTTACTTGATGGGGTTTTGGGGTTTTGGGG